CATGCTTTATTTCTCTCCTCTTTACTGCTTAAGCTTTAACCCTTTCCTATACCAACTGTATGTGTGTGTGTGTGTGTGTATGTGTATGTTAGACTAGTTTTGCGGTAAAGTCTTACTTGTATCACACTTGACGTTGTTCATTGTTTGCTCATAACCGCAGTCCCTAATCATGCAGATTTTTGCTACATGCTCTGTGTGGTATTGTTCAGTAAGAAAGTTATTTCCCTTAACCAGGAAATTAACGTTCTTAGAATTGACAGACAGTTGACCCTGAGAGGTCAAGTAAATACTTACAGCGGATCTAAATATTTATAATTAATTATAACTAGTTATGATTAATTATTCATATTTCCCCTTTGAGCTGATTCGCTACAACCTGCTTCTGCTGTATGATTTCAACTTTATTTTTGGAGTACAGTACTATCCATAATTTTAAAAAGAGATCTGAGAAGTTGCTATTACCGTGTAGGTGAGAAAAGAAGCGGCTACCCATTCCCATGAAGCATTGTGATGTAATTTAGTCAGTCCTACTCTCAAATTGTACAAGTATTAATATTTTAGAATAAATTGTAAAAATGTAAAAAAAAAAAAAGTTGATGTAAATGTCACATGATGTTTTTGGTTGAAAAAATTCAAGTCCATTTGCAAATTACCATGCTTTCAAACAAAGGGCCATAAAAAATGCCCAGTATCTCAGAACCCCCACTTGAGGTTCCGGACTTCCTGAATGTAAAAATGTAAAAAAAATTAAAAAAAAGTTGATGTAAATGTCACATGATGTTTTTGGTTGAAAAAAGTCTATGAAAGTTTTATATTTAAAATTATTTGTAGGCAATATAGTCCATAGTTGGTTCATGGGATGAGTATTTCATTTACTCAAAGATGTTAAATACAGTCTTTTAAAGTGATGTTTTGCTTTGAATAGGTCACTGTTGTGCCCTTGTCAGTTCCTTGTAAGAACATTCATTTTATAAGAACAGCAGGTGTTTTGTGTATGGTTAATTTATTTTACATGTGCTTTACAGGTTATTTATAAGACTGATCACATGGAGAAATGCTCTTTGTATTTAATATAACTCTACTCGTATACAAAAACATAGGAATACATATTTATATAAGACCTTTTTTTAAAATATTTGGCATTGCATGAAAGTAAATCCCACAGCCAGAAACAACAGATTTTGGAAAACATTTAAAAAGAAATGTTAATCTTTTACCCAGTCAATCTATCCCACCCTTACATATTGTTTAAAAAAAAAGTGAACCTTGAACCAGAATATATGTAACATGCAAAAGTTAAATATCACAGAGTTTCAAGAATTCTTAGATAAGTGCAGGAGTTCTCAGAGGCAAGAGTTTGAGTGCGATGAGATGCAAGCATTTACTCAGGGTTGGTCAGGCCTGGTGTAGAGAGAGTCAAGGGTTAATACTGGAAACCATTTCAAGACTTAAAATATTTCTGTGGCTTGTAGATATGTTTTTAAGATGTTAAGGAAAGGAGCTGTTGTGGATGAATCTTTAAAAGCAAACATTAGGTGGCATCATTTAATTGCATGTGGAATGAGGCTGAAGGAGACAAGTAGGTTTTTTTTGGTGCACTGGAGAAGATATTTTGTATGTTTCATCAACACCAATGTTGGTCTAGGCTTTTTTTGTGTTCAGTTCAATAAACCATTTACCCTAACTAAAGTATATTTCTCCATTTTGAGAATTAATCTGAAAAAAGAAATCTGAATTTTCATAACTTGTTCTTTATTTTCTGCTGTTGAGCATCAACTCACCTTTCTCACTTTGTGCCAGGTCTCACCTCCTCCTGCGACCGGCTGTCACTGCCAAAGGATGGACAAGATCAAAGGTTACAGGACTTTCACCAAAGCAAGATACATATTGACAAACCTGTTTTCATGGAAATTACCACTGATCTGAGCCTTCTTACCTACAACAGGCACCGAGTCTTCACTCTCGCCGGCAGTGTTTTGGGCAGTTACGACAATGTGACCACTGCCGAAATTGGTGACAGAACAGAGGAGCTGTGAGCTCATGCAGAGTTTCGTCCTTCCAGAGGAAGTAACCCCATACACAGTGTAGTTTGTAGCAAATAGAGACTCGTTCCATGCCACTACCGCCGATGATGCAGAGAACGTCACATTTAGAGGGGCACAAGGCACTGGGGGAAGGAAACAAATGAACAGATGAGTTATGGATGTTTTTGTATTTTAAGCATCTTCATTTCCCATTTAAGTATGGTAAGAAGATAGTCCTGTGGTGACTGAATATTGTGCACCTGTGCTTCCAGTGACAGCAGCAGACTTGTCACTTGTGGCGGCAGAGTTCCTCGCACTGATGGTTGCGCTGTAGGTGGAGCCACAAGGGAGAGGCACTTCGAAGAATGTGCGTCTTGTCCAATAGGAGGTGAGGTCAAAGAGTGCTTGGTTGTTGCCCTGAATGCTGCCCGTGAGTGCCAGGAGGTATTCAGAATTAGGACAATTCACAGTAGACCAAGACGCCCTCAAGATCTGAGTATCATTTACTACTGTACGAGGGACAACCCTCAATCCAGCTGGAGGACATGGAGCTAAGGGAAAGAGGTGAACAAGACTTAAAACCTGTTTTCCAAGTTGGGATCCCAAAGCAGCAGAACCAAAATGTCACTTATATCGGTCTTCACAATGGATTTGCCAACACTAAATAAATACCAGGGATGGACAAATCTCACAAGTCGGACTTGTAACCCGAAGGTCGCGGGTTCGAGTCTCAGGTCCGGCTGGGATTGGAGGTGGGGAGAGTGAATAACCAGCACTCTCTCCACCTTCAATACCACGACTGAGGTGAGACCCTTGAGCAAGGCACCGAACCCCCAACTGCTCCCCAGGCTGTCCACTGCTCCGGGTGTGTGTTCACGGTGTGTGTGTGTGTGTGTGTTCACTACTCACTGCTGTGTGTGTGCACTTGGATGGGTTAAATGCAGAGCACAAATTCCGAGAATGGGACACCATACTTGGCCACACGTCACTTCACTTTCAGGATTACTAGAAAGCTACAGGCACTTGTTAGGCTTTCATGGTTGATCTGAACCCAAGTTTGATTCTCTTCTTCTAAAGGTCCTTTTTCATGTTATATCCGATTTGTAGACACATTCTTAATGCAAGTAACTGCTAACCAAATTGCTCCTTGAAGAACTTTATAAGTAGTGATTCGGATCTGCAAATTGGGTCAAATTTCTTACATACCAACTGACAACCATACAAGAGTGGACTTGAACTGTTTTCTAGACCTTCATTTTCAAGCAAATTGGGGTGTGGTTCTTTTGGTAGACAAACACGTACAGAAAACGTGCCAATAAATTGAACCAAATGTTGCTCTCCAGAAATTTCAAGTCCACTCCAAAAGCAGTAGTTTGAAACGCCCTTGGTTGGCATGTGAAATACTAGCAGATCAGTTCAAAGAAAGCAGATTATTGTGACGTGAGGATGACCGTACCTGCTCCCTTAGTTTGAGGTTCACTCAAGGAACTGTTGCAGAAGCCATCCGTTGCCTGCACTGTAAAGTTGTACACAGTGCCGCACACTAAGCCCTCCAGAGTACAAGACATGTGTGTGGTTTCACAGTAGGCTGTTGTGCCGGTTTCTGACTGAGCAAGTCCCATGTAGGCCACCGTCCCTGTACTCCCCACCCAGGACAAGGAGGCACTACTACTGTTCCCGCACTGTATGGTTGCAGTTAAGTTGGCTGGCTCACATGGCACTACAGAATAAACACATGGCAATAATTAATATTTACACAATGTATAAACTTTGCTCACGGAATTTATAAGAAGAGAATTTGTGTCCTCTTACCCGTTTTGATGGTGATGTTAGCACTGGGCAGGCTGGTGCAGTTCTCATTACTGGCTAAAACGGACACATGATAGATGTTGCTGCAATGCAGATCAGTTAGCGTGCAGTTATTGTTCGAGGTATTGCACGTCTTCAAGTCTCCATTTCTGCCAACTGCGGTAAGCAGGTACGACTGTGCCACGTATGATGGGTTCCATGACACAAACACATCCTTTGACTGACAGTCTGTATTGGCCTGTACTGATGAGGGCTGACAGGGTGCTGCAGATGATGAAAGGAAGAAATGAGCACAACCTGAATATTAATGTAATGAAAGCAAATCTAACATGGATAGATCTGTAGATCAGGGGTATTCAATCCTGCTCCTGGAGGTCTACCTTCCTATTGAGTTTAGCTCCAGCCTTATCTCATCAAGGTCTTTGTGATTACTAGGAACTTCCGGGCAGAAACTAAACTCCACAGGAAGGTTGCTCTCCATGAGCGGGATTGTACAACCCAGGGGCCTCATGTATACACGTTGTGTACGCACAAAATGGGCATAGAAATGTGCGTACGCTGTTTTCCACACACGTATCTGGATTTATAAAAAATAAACTTGTCGTAAATATGTACGCACATTACGGATGCTCTTGACTGTGCGTACACTCTTTCCTGGCGTGAGAAAAGTAATGAAGGATTTTTAAACTCTGTTTTCATGTCGATATACACATTTACATTAAATATTCCACTCTCATCAATGGATATAAGCACTGAAATTACATAAAGTCATTATGCAGAAGTTAAATCAAAATTATATGAATTTAGACATATTTGTAGTTGATGCACTTAATCACTTTTCCTGTGGCATGCAATGTTTTAATGACAGCGAGGAGTGCTATAATAATTCATATTTAAACTAAACTGCATAAGCTAAACGAAATTTTTTTTAGCGAGAACAATGATCAATGATGCACACTTACTTCGATATTATGGCGGACACTGCTGGATTCGGTGGTCGAACGGTCCATTGTCCGGTTTGAATAATAGCTACTGTACAACCACAGCTGCATGGAGGTGTTGATGTCGTGTGAAGGCATCTCCACAACATTATGAAATACAGTAGTCAACATTTGAAGTGGATCAAAAAAGTTCTAAGTCTTGTCCTAAGACAAGAACACATTTAGTTTTAGGTTTTAGGACAACTTTGATGAAAGGTTTTGATCCACTTCAAATGTTGACTAGTATACAACTTGGGGAAAAAACGGTAAGATTTGCGTGTTTCCTTTTTAAAATACTTAGTCAGTGACGCGCCGAATCAGACAAATGTATTTACTCTGCAATAAATATAGGCTTAAATAGCAAAAAGATGTTCACCTTATCAGCAAAACTGCATTAATTTAATTTGATTTGAATTGTTTAAAACAATTGAAATACTATTTGTCCAGTGGAAAAGAATGAGGTCAAGTATATTCTAAAATAGGCTATTTATCTGAGAACAAAACAGTTTTGTTTTTATGGATATTTTGATATATTCTAAAACATTCTGGATGATTTTGGCAATAAAAATTAATGTGGCACAAATGGCATTTATTCTGTATCTCATATTTGTGTCACGTGGATGGGAATATGCATAGTAAAGCTAGGCGTATATGGTTATTTCGGGGAGGAGACAGGGTGGAGATGCACGTACGCACAATCTTCCCCTGACTGGGATTTATAAAGGGATTTTTGCGCAGGTTCTGGTGTACGTATGGTTTTATAAATCTGAAAACTTTTGTGCGTATGCAAAATCTAGCTTTTGTGCATACGTACACTTTTAGGATGAAATCTACTGAGAGTTTTATAAATGAGGCCCCAGGTCTATAGAGTGCAGTTGCAATTAAAGGGATAGTTCACCCACAAATGAAAATTCTGTCATTAATTTCTCACCCTCATGTCATTCCAAACCCCTAAGACTTTCGTTCATCTTCGGAACACAAGTTTAGATATTTTTGATGAAATCGGAGAGCTTTCTGACCCTCCATAAAGAGCAATGCAACTACCACGTTCAAGGCCCAGAAAGGTAGTAAGGACATCATTAAAATAGTCCATGTGACATCAGTGGTTCAACTGTAATTTTATGAAGTTACGAGAATACTTTTTGTGTGCAAAGAAAACAAAAATAATGACTTTATTAAACAAGTTCTTCTCTTCTGTTGCAGTCTTAGACACACGTTCAAACACACGTCAAAGACTGACACGGAGTTGCGTCGCTGTCTATGGAGGGTCAGAAAGCTCTCAGATTTCATCAAAAATATCTTGTGTTCCAAAACGAACGAAGGTCTTACAGATTTGGAACGACATGAGGGTGAGTAATTAATGACAGAATTTTCATTTTTGGATGAATTAACCCTTTAACTAGAAAAGTCCCACAATGCAGATGTTATAGTGTATAGCACGATTGTTAGCATTAGTGTTTCTGGACGGTTGCTCAGTGACTAGAAAATAAGTCAAAAAGCCCATCCCCAGGTGTCCATGATATCGTGGTCCCTAGGTTTGACCCAATTCCCTTCTTAAATGCAAGTCTAAAGAGTTTTTTCTTCATCTATTGCAGCGGTTCTCAATTCCAGTCCTCGCGTACCCCCGCTCTGCACATTTTGTATGTTTCTCTTATTGCTTCAGACATTTGTTATATTTGACAGTAAGTGCCCTGCGAAGTGGACATTACCGGATATTCCGCCATGATTCCAGTTTGAAGGGAGCATTTAAGTGTGCGAGACGTGAATTTAAATTGTATTTATTTACAGAGGTATATTATGTCCCACTTCACGCTTCTCTAGTAAGTTTCGTATGTGTGTGAAGACGCTGCAGGCAGCGGCGCAGCGCAAATCTGTAAATGAATATTCCGAAGTGAAGTAAACTTCAACGGATTTCCCCTGCTCAGGGAGTAGGGAGCAATGGACACTGTGTAGGGACCATGTCAATCGGAACACAGTTCATGCACGGAGCTCACTTCGATGATGATCTGAATCAGGTGTGTTAACAAAGGGAGACATGCAAAACATGCAGAGCGGGGGTACGCAAGGACTGGAATTGAGAACCGTTGATCTATTGGGTAAAAATTGAAAGTCAGATCACCTATTCCCAACCCCAAGTTGGAGCAATAATAATAGTAATGGTTGCTTATGAGTAGTTATTGATTTCTAATGGATTGCTTTCTAAAATAAACATCTATTCTAGATGGGAATGGCATAATATTAATGATTGTACCAGTTCTGATCTTGTAGGGTGGGCTGCGGAGGCTGCTGCATTTGTTGGCCGAAGCAGCCACAATGATAGTGTACTCCTTGTCGCAATGCACATTGGTTAGGTTGCAGGAGGAAGCGGAGCTATTGCAGGAAAGGATGGAAAGGTCTTGATCCTCTGCTGTGGCAAAGTAGAGAGAATTTCCGCTCCGAGCTTTCTGCCATTGTACCATGATAACAGAACTGTGGCATTCAGCCACCACCACGATGGATGACAAGGCACAAGGTGCTGGAGAGAGATATTATACATACTTTAAGGCTGAGATACACTTAGTCTCAAATAAAAGGGCTAAACCTGTCTACCGCAGCTGTACTTACCTGTCTCCAGCTGAAAGCTGCTGCTGGGTGGGCTCACGCAAGCAGCATTTGAGGCAGTGACGTGAAAGGTGTAGCTCCTTCCACAGCCTAGGTCAGGTACATTACAGGTGGAGTTTGAGCTGCTACAGGTGGAATTGTGACCGTCCTCCCCTACAGCCAGCACTGTGTAAGACTCTGCAGCATTAACTACATCCCATGATACCCATGCAGAGTTAGTGACACAGTCCACAGTACCGTTGACCCCCTGTGGAATACATGGAGCTGTAAAGAGAAGAGGTCAGACATGAAGTGCTTTAGGTAAATATAGCTACTGAAATCTGTTTGAGAATGTATTCTTGTGTTAGTGTACAACCTGAGGCGATGGAAAGGTCACTGCTTGGTTGACTCTGACAGCCGGCTCTCAGTGCCACCACACTGAGGTTGAATCTCTCTCCACAGGGCAGATGGGTGATGGAGCACTGCGTGTTTGTGCTGTTACATGAGGAGATCGCACCAGTGCTCTCAGGCTCAAGTTCAACTATGAACAGGCTGGCGTCCACTGCTGGGTTCCAACTCACCAGCACAGACCCTGAATCACACTGCACAATGGCAGATACGTTCTGGGGGGGACATGGAGCTGAGAAAAGAGAAAGAAGGAACCAGGATGTTATTGAAGGGTGGGGCTGTACTAACTACATCAGCAGGAAACTATATAAGATAAGTCAATATAGCAACGATGGTGTGCTTCTTGCCGCAATGCTACATCAAGTTAGCATGCCGCTCATGTCACATGCAAAAAGTTAGTCATAGCCCCATGTAGAAGTCTTAAACATATAGTAGCTTGTTTATTTCTAAAGAAGGTTCAATCTTACAAAACATTTCCTTGTCATATTTTGCCTCAGAAATAAGACTATTTTATGAAATTACATTAAATTCCATTTTCAAGACTTTAGCATGGTGGCATTTTAACTAAGTAGAATTTCTATTAAAATTAATGTACAAAACATTCTTGTTCGCATAATGAGATGTTTTACTTTCAATCGATTCTTTTGTTGTTCCCCTTACTATATTATTAAACCTTTTTAATCATATAAAATATTTAACAATAAAATATAAATACTTAACCATTATTGTTTTTTGGGTTTTTTTGCATTTAAGCAATGATAATTTGAAGATAAAATGTTCTTAATTGTTCTGAAAATAACTGTAAAAATGCCGATATCATATTAATGCCAAAAGTAGACTTCACTTAAGCAAAATATATTTTCGTATTTTCTTCTTTGATTTTGGTGTGAGAAGTGTTTTGGATATGGTTTTAAATATTTCATTAGATTTACCTTTATGTGAGAGGGTGGATGGAGAATGATCAAATTAAATGACAACTGCTGTTGGTGACAGAAACCTCCAGTGATATGTTGTTATATGCAACAAAATATACAATATGGTCCTTCAAATATATATGGTCCTTTTATATATTTGATGGGTACTGAAGTGTTCAGATCTCTTATTATGTAATTATCAGCTTCAAGATGAGACTACTGGTTTTGAATAGGACTAAAACATTAAATACCAAGACATACAGTTGTCTTTACTTGATAAAGTAAGTAAAATCTTCACACACATACCTGTCTGCACCTGAGACATAGTGCTCTTCACGCCTCCACAGCCATGGGCCAGTGAGTAGACAGAGACATTATAAATCTGGCCACACTGCAGTTCCTGCAGATCACAGGAGGTGGTGGTGGTGTTACAAGAGTAGGAATTACCATCATTAGACACGGCCACGGCCATGTAAAACTCTGCCCCGTTTGCTTGCACCCATGACACAGACAAAACACCACCACTGATGTCGCAATGCAGAGACGTCTGAACATTGCTAGGTGCACATGGAGCTGAAAGAGAGCAAGAACAGCAACCATTTTTATAAGGACATTTGTTATTAGTGTTCATAATCATACACCTGCATGGTCGTTGGAATATCCCACATTCGACTTCAAATCAGATGCTTAAGATTAAATCTTGGCTTCTCTGATCAGATGCACAAAAGAATCAGCAGACTCACCTGACGTCAGCATGAGGTGTGTGTTGCTATTGTCACATGCTCCATTCAAGGCAGTGACAGTAATGTTATAGCTCTGGCCGCAGCGCATGCCAGCTAATGTACAACTGTGGTCGGAGCTGGTGCAGTCGATGCGATGTCCATCAGAACCAATAGCCTGGACTGTGTGACGTGTGACGTTATCACTGAGCTCCCAACTTACAACAGCAGAGTTGGTGTCACAGTTGAGATGGGCGCTAGCATTCTGTAGCTTACAGGGCACTGAAGTGAAATTAAATATTAACAGTTATCATAATTAACAAGATAATAAATGTAGTACTTGACGGCAAAATTGTAGGCAAAATTGTATTCAGCAAGGATGCATTAATTTGATCAAAAGTGACAAAAAGTTATATAATGTTCCAAAAGAAATTATATTCCACATGAATACAGTTCTTTTGATCTTTCTGTTCATCAAATAATCATAAGAAAAATCACTGTTTACACACAAATATTTGCTAATCAGCATATTAGAATGATTTCTGACAGATCATGTAGCCCTGAAGGCTGGAGTAATGGCAGCTTTTTTCTATCACAGGATTAAATTACATTAAAAAAAATTTTTAAATAGAAAATTTTAAGTTATTTTAAATTGTAATAATATTTCACAATGTTATGATTTGTACTGTATTTTTGATCAAATAAATGCAGCCTTAGTGAGCATAAAAGACTTCTTTCAAAAGCATGAAATACCACTGACCCCAAACTGTTGAACTGCATTTATGGTGGATGTTATTTTTAGTTTTTCAGGTACCTGTACTCAGCACAACTGGCTGACTCGGTGCAGTGTTGCAGGTCCCGTCAGTGGCGCTGACAGCTAGACTATAGTTCATCCCACAGAGCAGATCCGAGAAGACACATGCTGTTCCAGTGCTGTTACACACTGAGGCGTAGCCACCACTAGTCTGAGCAACCGCAGCATAGGAAATGGCCCCTACGCTTGGGCCCCAGGACACGGATACAGCTCCAGTCGTACAGTTTACACTGCCCTGCACATGAGTAGGTACACACGGCACTGCAAAGAAACAAGGTTGGAGAAAGACTAAATTAAATTGCTTAAACCTTAACACTAGGTATTCAACTTCTGCATATAATTCAGAATTATATATAAAATGTATAATTAATTATATATAAAATCTATTTGAAGGAAATTTAAGATTAAAGTTTGAAAATCCCCAATTTAAAAAAAAAAATCTCACTGAATTTCTGACTTAATAATATTTGCATAATTAATTGTAATTAGTTTTCTATCGTACATCTATTTGCATACATCTTTTTTTTCCAAACAGGAAGGCAGAGAGCAGAGGATATGAAACTGGAGACTATACCGGTGTTTATTCGTAAGATGGAGCTTCCTGATGTGTTGCATTGTTGGTTTACTGCAATAACGCTGACATCGTACGAGGAGCTGCAGTGCAGTGTTTGCAGTCTGCACTCCTGCGCAGTTGTGTTACAGGCAGTCACTGGACCCTCAGGTCCCTTGGCAACCACCAGGTAAGACGCCGCCCCACGGCGTTTTTAAAGCATAGATTTAAAAACTCCCCTGAGGTTTGTTTGCATATTAAAGGGGTCATATGATGTGATTTCAAGTTTTCCTTTCTCTTTGGAGTGTTACAAGCTCTTGGTGCATAAAGAAGATCTGTAAAGTTGCCAAGACTAAAGTCTCAAATCCAAAGAGATATTCTTTATAAAAGTTAAAAGTCAACCACGCCCTCCTAAAACGGCTCATTCTAACACGCCCCCACATGTCTACATCAAGATGTGGGAAGATTTGAATAACGCCGCCTAAATGTTCACGCAAAGAAAGAAGGCGTAACTTTTATTCTCGCTGTTGCCGCCGCTGCCATGTTGTGGAGTCGCTGTGCGTTTCGTTGTGAAAGCGATACTACTTTGTTTGGCCTTCCAAAAGAGGACACGACTAGAAATCAGTGGTTAAGTTGTATTTACAACACTGTTCCAGAACAGTTCAACCCAAATATTCAGATGTGTGCAACGCATTTTATGGAGGATGAGGACTGTTTCCTGAATCGTTCTATTTAACAGGATCTTCTTAGTGAACCGGTCAAACCAGTTCACCAAATCGAACTGAATCGTTTGAAACGGTTCGCGTCTCCAGTACGCATTAATCCACAAATTACTTAAGTTATTCGGTTTATAAACGTGCCTGACACTCCCTCTGACGCAAAATAAACCAATATCCCGAGTTATTCAGTTACTCCTAACAGTACATTGACTGAACTGCTAAAAGAGAACCGATGATGGGATGTGCACGAGCAGAGCAGCTGGACTGAGTCTCGTCCTGCTGGGAGACGGCATCACAGTATGTTAAGGGGCGTAACATTTCCGTCACACGCTTGAGGCATTCGGCCAATCACAACGCACTGGTTGTATTGAACTTGAGAAAATGTGTTTAATAAAAATGTTCTAATTTATAATCATTAGAAGTTGCATATTTTTCTCATTATGAAAAATGTATTCATTGAAAAAATATATTATTTGAAAATGCGTAGTTTGTGTGGTTTAAATTAGTTGATTTATCACACATTTTATATATCTATATATCTGTCTATCTATCTATATACTGTACATATATAGATATAGATATAGATATAGATAGGTAGGATAGGATAGGTATAGATAGATAGATAGATAGATAGATAGACAGATAGATAGATAGATAGATAGATAGATAGATAGATAGGTCTTACCCATGTGTATGGTGGTGCTGTTGCTGCGTGTGCTCGTGCAGCGGCTGTCACTGGCAGTGACTGTAACGTTATAGATTTCACTGCAGTGCAGGTCCTCCCAGGTGCAGCTGGTCCCATTAGTAACACACAGGTGTGTGTGTCCATCCTCACCCACTGCTGTGGCAGTGTACATGTTCGCCCCATCGCTTGGGCCCCAGCTGACAGAACCCAACTGATTGTCACACTCGAAATATGTCACGAGATTAAGGGGCGTGCAGGGCGCTGGATCACAACACACATTACAAAGGTAGGTTAACTCATTTCCTACCATTCTCACTCAAATAACAGAGAATTATTTGCAATTAATTCTCTTTTTTATAACAACAGGAAACTGCATACTGCCTTTGAGTGTTTAAGGATGTGGAATTTTGTTTAGTGCACAGCAGGTTTATGTCTAATTTCAGGGACATACCGAGTCTGAAAACCGCAGGAATGCTCGGTAGGCTGTCGCAGGTCTCGCCGTGCGCTTGGACAGACACGTTGTAGCTTTGTCCACAGAGCAGTGACACAGACAGGTTAGTAGAAGTAGTGTTAAAGTCGACAAAATATCCCAGACTCCCTGCTGCCATCACAATGTAGAATGATGCTCCTTTGGCTTTTGACCAGTCGAGCGCCACCGTCTTGCTGTCACATGACACGTGAGCAGTCACGTTCTCTGGCTTGCAAGGATCTGGAGAAGTTCAGGTGGATTGTTATTTTGTAGCATTGTATAAAGTTATTTTGTAATCATTTAAATAAATAAAATATTAGTAGTAACAATAAAAATAAATATACAAACATGCTGTTATTATATATATATATATATTATTATATGTTTAATGATAACAATATTTAAATAAAATATTAATTATAAAAAGAAAAAGTATTAACAATAAAAAATAAATTTACAAATGTATTATTATTTATAATAATAATAAATACTGGGTAATAATGCACAGAGAGTGAGAAGGGGTGTGTCTAAAAATATTAACAATAAAATACTAAAACTATAACTAACTAATAAAAATAAATATATCAACTTCTTCATATTATTATTATATCTGTAATAATATTAATATAGATAATACTTTATACTATTATTATTAATAGCAATAATTAAATAAATAAAATATTAATTATAAAAATGAAAAATATGAACAATAAAAATATATACAACCATTATTATCTTATGTAATAATAATTTGTTATTTATATAATATATTAGTAATAATAATAATAGTTAAATAAAAATTTATTGTAAAAAATAAAATATTAGCAAATTAAATAAATATGCAAATGTATTTTATTATTATTATTATTAATAGTAATAAAAAACATGTGAAATAAATTATTAAAATACATTTTTATTATCATTATTAGTAGTAGTATTAATAGTAATTATTATCGTCATCATCATAATAAAAAATCATGTTGTGACACTGAAAACTGGAGTAATGATGTTGAAAATTCAGCTTTGCCATCACAGGAATAACATTTTAAAATATCTTCCAATAGAAAACTGTTATTTTTTAATTTTAATAATAATTGTAATTTTACTGTATTTTTGATTAAATGATTCTTCTTTAAAAAAAAATATTCCAAACTGTAGTCTAGTAATGTCTTTAGTCTTTTAACACAGTTATATATGATATCTTAACATTAAAGTGAATTTTTTATGAAATAGGTGGTTCTAAATAAAACATATTTAAACAATGTACACATGCAATAAATCATGCAAAATAAGACCAGAAACATGGTCAGTTCTGGTATAATTTAGACTTCAGCCTTTGGTACTAGAGAAATCTGCTGTGACAGGAAAAAATATTTTTGTTTCATCACAATATTGTTTGTTTTTAATTGTTTTTTACAGACCTGATGTCATGTTGACCCCTGTGCTGTCAGAGCTGTTGAACACCTCACCGATGGCACGGACTCTGACATAGTACACTGTTCCACAGGTGAGATCAGGTACACTGCAGTATGTATGATTTGTCCGACAGGAAGTGGAATGACCATTTCCGCCTTCCAGGAATGCAACATATCCCACTGCCAACTGACTAGGCTCCCAGGAGACAGCAGCACTAAGGGTGGCGCAGTTTAGGCTAGCTTTGACATTCTGAGGAGGACAGGGTTCTGGAATGACATGAAGTAAATGACACTGATTCAAGATGCACATCATGCAGTTTTGGAATGACATGAGGGTGAGTAAATAATGACACATTTTTAATTTGGGTGAACATTCCCTTAAAATCAGTGGTCACATGACTGACCTGTCTTGATAGGATCAGAGGTCACAGTGTCACTGCAGACACTGTTGTGAGCCGTCACGCTGACGTTGTAGATCTGGCCACAATCCAGGTGTGGGCAGGAGCAGCTCGTGTTAGAGGTCTCACAGGTCACTGTCAGGCCCCCGAGGGTCACAGCCTCTGCTGAGAAGTTGGTGCCACCTTTAGTGACCTCCCAGGAGAGCAGAGCGGTGGAAGGACTGTACTGCACTGTCAGATGCTGAGGAACACACGGACCTGTAATGGTATGATAACGGTTTAGTTTTATACATGTATGTATAAAGATACATATTTTATCTAAAAAAGTATAATGCATAATGTGTCACATTTCTAGATAATCTCAATATCCTGTTATAAATTGTCATTTAAATTGTTTTCAATTTAAATGTATTTACAGGTAAGTAAAATGAATACAAAAAATATTCAAAAAGTTAAACTATAGCCTTGTGTGCAAATTTTGTAGTACAAATATGTGTGACTTTAATGTTTTAAATGATATATAAATATATATTATATTGAGTAAAATGATTTTAAAAATATGTTCAGCTAAGAATGATATATATACACTACAAGTCAAAAGTTTTTGAACAGTAAGATTCTTAATGTTTTTTAAAGAATTCTCCTCTGCTCACCTGCATTTATTTAATCCAAAATACAGCAAAAGGAGTAATATTGTTTATGCTGATTTGCTGTTGAAGAAACATTTTTTTTTATTATTAATTTTTTTTCAGGATTCTTTAATGAATAGAAAGATCAGTAATTATAGAAATTAATACTTCTATTCAGTAAGGATGCTTTAAATTGATCAAAAGTGATGATAAAGACATTTACAATGTTACAAAAGATTTCTATTTCAGATAAATGCTGTTCTTCTGAACTTTCTGTTCATCAAAAAATTCTACTCAGCTGTTTTCAACATAATAATAATTAATGTTTTTTTGAGCAGCAAATCAGAATATTTTAATGATTTCTGAAGGATCATGGTACTGGAGTAATGGTGCTAAAAATTCAGCTTTGAAATCACAGGAATAAATTACATGTTTAATATATATTCAAAAAGAAAACACGTTATTTTAAATAGTAAAACTATTTCACAATATTAATGTTTTTGCTGTACTTTAGATCAATTAAATGCAGGCATGGTGAGCAGAAGAGAATTCTTTAAAAATCTTACTGTTCAAAAACTTTTGACTGGTAGTGTACATAAAATGGTTGAATGGAGCAGTCTATTTCAGTCCAGCAGAAGTACGTTGGCAGAACCAAATCGTTTACAAAACCAAATTAACAGTCTCAGCTGAAAACTTCAATCGCAAGCAAATCAGATTCACTAAACCTCACCAGTGATCAGGGAGCCAGTCATCTGAGCACTGGCATTGCACGTGTATCCCAAACTCTGTACGTTCACCGTATACTCATTGCCACACTGCAGGTCGCTCAGCTCACAGTGCGTGATGGAGCTGTTGGATGTGCAGCTAGCCCTGTTGTCCACCGGTGCCAAGGCAGAGACAGCGTATCCCTGAGCACCTGCACCATACTGCCATGACACAGTGGCTGTACCCAGCTGACAATCCAACACTGCCCTGATGGAGCTGGCTACGCAGGGAACTATGGGTAAACGCAGGAGAGACTCTGAGAATCTATTTTACATAATATATTTTTTTTTTAATAGAAAGCAGTATACAGTGTATATATGTGCAGTAAGCGGGTCCAAACATAGCGATTAATTTAGGAGCGAGTGTCTATGAGAGCAATGTCTATGGAGTGAAAATATAGAGTATATAGACAAGTATATGCTGCAATTCAGTGCCTTTCTTTTGCAGTTTATGTTTTTTTTATTAGACTTTATTGAATTTGATAAACTAAACTAGATGTACGTCTGTCCATTAGAGCATTCCATTGTCATCGTAAAGGACAGAGCTCCATTGCCGCCGGACCAAGACCCACTCGCTGTGTTGCTGCCACAGTTCATTATGGACTGGATATTCAGTGGAGAGCATGGGGCTGAAGAGAAGAGAAAATAATGCCATTTAAAGGTGAATGGTAAGTATGTAATTTCCGCACCACTACAAGCACCAAACACATTTTTAAAAGTAACTAGAATTTATTCTGTTTTTTTTTTCCTTTTTTAAAATCTGAGTAGTGCTGTGGTGTTGCTATATGGCTTCTAAGGTGTTTGGAGTTGTTTTCACTGGGCTGCTATGCAGTTGCTAGGGCACCAGTACTGACGATCATTTTCAGCGAGTAACCTGAAGTCATTTCATTTTCAATGAAAGTTTTTGCAGAGTTCAGCTTTATGCAAAGAGCAGCTACGTGATGCAGCGACCTCCAGTAGGAGTGCAGACTGTGTTCTATGCAGGTTTGATGCATGAATGAAACGGTGCCTCCTGTCCAATAACAAAGCCTAAGCTTTCAAATTCTTTAAATTTTTCTCAAGAAATACAAACAATAAATGTCATTTTGACATCATCATGTGGCATGACAGATCGCTTTAGCTGCTGCATTCATGCAGCAAGTGTGAAAGCAATCATGTCTTCCTTTTTACCTCTAGTTATAAGCATGAAATAAACAAGAATGATAATCAGAAAGTATGTTGAAAAAATAGTACAGATTACTAAAATATACCAGTGTTTCAAACTGCAAAAAATAAAACAGCTTGCAAACATAGCGTAATGTTACCTTAGCAAAGTCATTAGAAAAAAACTCTAGAGAGGAGCATTGTGTGAAATATGTGTACTCTATATATTATATATTCATTGTATATTACCTGTTAGTGTTGTCATAATTACTTTAACATATTTATTTAAGACATAAATTATGTCATGAAACAAGCTTTTATGATAGCCATGTTTAAATGTTTATATTTAAACAAGGAATTTGAGTAAAAAAATTATATCATTAGAAAGTTGCTTTATGTACAATTTAAATGTTTTATTATATCTATCTATCTATTATTATATCTATAAATAAATAGCAATCCAATTTAATAATTTGTTAAATTTTTGTTGTTGATTTTAACATTTAATATTTTAGTAATGTACCAAGTGAAAGTGTTCCCTGCATAGTTTACACCAGGGGTGGCGAACGTCGGTCCTGGAGAGCCGCAGCCCTGCCGCTTTACTTCAACCCTAATCAAACACACCTGAACAAGCTAATCAAGGTCTGAACGGTTACTAGGAAGCTACAGGCAGGTGAGTTTTTATTAGGGTTGGAGCTGAATTCTGCAGGGCTGAGGCGCTCCAGGACCGGAGTTCGCCACCCCTGGTTTACAGCTTTATTTGAGAGAAGAAAAATTGCATGTACCTGAAGTATTTCAAATTGAACTGATATCAAAGCAGCATCTGAATTAAATTGAATTGAGAGCTTGTGAATAAGAATCTAATTATGAAATATGTGTCAATATCCAGCCCTACACTCAAGTAGAAATGTCTGCTAGCAACTAACAGTGATTAAACTGTGATTTAGTGAAAAGGGCTTGAGGCATTTGTTCAGATTATTTCTTTGTTTTACTACAGTATCTGTCTAAAGAATCTGTCTTTTCTTCTTTACAGAGTCTTCCATTGTATGGACAAACTAGGCTTTGTTACCTGTCTCCCTCTGCAGTGTGTTACTAGCAGCACTGGTGCATTGGCCTTGCGTTGCATTCACAATGAACGTGTACATCTGTCCACACTGCAGTCCATCCACCACACATTCACCATTGTTGAAGACACCACAGCCCAGCTGTTCACCCTGAGTGCTCACTGCACTGACCGAAAATGCACCTAGACTCAACCCTGAACTAGACCACTTCACCACAGCAGACCTTGAGCTACAGTTCAGAGCCACGTCGTTCAGAACTGGCACACATGGAGCTGAAAGTGAGGGTAAAGAAGGGTGAAAGGAAACAGATTATTAAATATGAAAGTGCATTATTAGTATTATTAGAGCAAAAATTGAGTTTAATGACAATCATTATGGTAATATTATTTTTTATACAATTCCTGATTCCTGACCTGTAATGAAGGAGTACTCCGAGCTGGATTTGCTAGTACAGTTGTTTTGGGTAGCAGTGACAGTGACATTGTATTGGCTGCCACATTGCAGGTGGGCAAGAGTGCAGTTCAAGTTTGTTGTGTTACACTCCACACCACTAGAGGGCCCCAATGGGCCAATGGCGCTTGCTGTGTAATGAACCCCGGAAATGGCCAAGGAGCTCCAGGACACTAAGACTGTGTTAGTAGGGCAGTCCAAAACAGCAGCGACGGAAGTAGGTGGACAGGGTGCTAAAGAGGAAACAGAAATACATATGCTGAGACTATTATTCTGCATGTCTCCAGTATTAAGCATTTCACTCTTAAAGGGATAGTTCACTCCAAAATGAAAATTACCCCATGAATTACTCACCCTCAAGCCATCCTAGGTGAATATGACTTTCTTCTTTCAGATGAATTAAAAATAAATAAAAAGAGTTATATTAAAAAATGTCCTGGCTCTTCCAAGCTTTATAATTGCAGTGAATGGGGGGGATGGGTGCATCCATCCATCCAGTACTCCACATGGTGGTGGTGGTGGGGGAGGGGGTAATAAAGGGCTTTTGAAGTGATCCATTTGTGTAAGAAAAATGTCTATATTTAAAACTTAAAGGGGTCATATGATGCTGCTAAAAAGAACATTATTTTGTGTATTTGGTGTAATGAAATGTGTTTATGCAGTTTAAGGTTCAAAAAACACATTATTTTCCACATACTGTACATTATTGTTTCTCCTCTATGCCCCGCCTTTCTGAAACGCGTAGATTTTTACAAAGCTCATCGGTCTGAAAAAGTGAGGTGTGCTCTGATTGGCCAGCTATCCAGTGCGTTGTGATTGGCCGAATTCCTCAAGCGTGTGACGGAAATGTTATGTCCCTTACCATATTGTGATGCCTGCGGGGCAACCACATGTGACGACCCCGTTTACAGATCTTCTTTATGCACCAAGAGCTTGTAACACTCCACAGAGAAAGTAAAAATTTACTGTAGCTTCCGCTAACTGTCGTACGCGTGTTTACAAGATAGTGGCGTTCCAGCGGATGACATAGGATGAAAGTAGCGTAAGCTCCAGTGGGAAGTGACGAACGCGGAAGCGCAGAGGAGAGAGCAAAACAAAACACCAGTCACAAATTAGCAGTACAAAATGAGGATATGTAAATAAAAATGTTGGAGGATTTCGATAAAAGTCAAGAGGAGACTGGTTTTCCTTTGCTGTAAACAAAACTTGGTTCTCGCAAGACTAACATATTCTCACCGGAGCTTATGCTACACCTACATCATCTGCTGGAACGCCACTCTCTCGTTAATACGCATATGACATTTAGCGGAAATTAGAGATTAAGGTTTATAAAGTTTTAAATATAAACATGTTTCATACACAAATGCATCACTTCAAAAAGCCATAAGTTCATAAGTTTTACTTCTCGACCCCCATTCACTGTCATTATAAAGCTTGGAGGAGCCAGGACATTTTTTAATATAACTGATTGTATTCATCTGAAAGAACTTCTATACACCTAGGATGGATTGAGGGTGAGTAAATCATGGGGTAATTTTCATCTTTGGGTGAACTATCCCTTAAAGTCAACATGAAACTGTATTTGCAAACCGTTTCACTTCAGTATTATGACATATCCTTATGTCTAAGAAATGTAGAGTGTGGTTTTTGATATGAGGAACTAAGGCTGGTACTAGTGCTAGGCGGTATGACCAAAAATGTATATCACGGTATTTTCTTTATGCTTGATTTATTTGTAACACATTAACCTCAAAACCTTTTCAGCGTTCTCTTTCTGCAAATTGTATGGTGTAGCGATATGATCAGCACCCAAAATACTATCAAACACTCCAACGCAGCTCCATTCTTCGCGAAAAATGGATAAAAAGGCGCACAGCAAACAAAAACCTCGAAAAATGATATGCGACCTGCCAAATGCTGGCCGAATCACAGAGATGCCGATTCGTACGGGACTAATATTATCACAGGACCTCGGTGTTTGGCGAAATATGGTAGGTCATTTGCTGGGGAAATTTTACATTACAAATTACAGACATGGCCGATTCGCACGGGATTAAGATCACAATTATTACAAATGACTGGAGGTCACCAGGTAATACTAATCCCGTGCGAATAGGGCTTTAAGTGACATATACCGGTATTGCGGTATTTTCAAAATTCATATCATAACAAAAATAAACACCGGTATTCGGTATGAACCAGTATAACGCCCAGCACTAGCTGGAACCACCATGAATATTGATGGTACAGCATCCCCTCCAAAAATTAGATATGGCCAGATTGTTCCTCATAATATTTGATGTTCTTGATGCTGCTCTGCTGCACTCCATTATGCACTGTTCTTTTATCAAATTTTGTGTTTTAAATTGTTTTAAATTGCAAATATCGTGATTCATGTAAATCATAATTAAATTTGTTCTGACAAGAAAGATTAATGGAGCTGTTTTTGACATAGACGTATGATTGAGAGCAATTGTGTGCATATTTATTTAGAAAGGAAGCCTTCAGTTTGTTCAAATGGTACTGTACCTGCCGTGACCTGACTGATCGCACTGGTGTTGGAGCTACAGCCGTTGGCCTCTGCAACCACAGTGATATTGTACGTCTGCCCACAGCCGAGTGCAGGGATGATGCAGGACGTGGAGCTGGAGTTACACACCAGGGTCTTGTCAGTAGATTTTGCTTGCGCATAGTAGATCTGCGCCCCTTTACTCGACTGCCAGCTAATTTGAACATCACCTGTTCGACAGTCTAAGAGCTGACTGACCACAGACTGAGGAGCACAGGGTGCTGGGAGACAAAGGTAAACAAAGTATTACTTTAGCATGTTTAAAGGAATATTCCAGCTTAAAAACAAATCTTTCTCGGCAGAATCTTTGGTGTGCAGTCAAATACATTTAAAATGTGAAGTATTGTCGTCAAAGCACTTGAATTATTCAGTAAAAGTGTTCTTTTTTTTAGCAACATTCAAATTTCAAGTGCTGTAGAGAATAATATTGTGTACTGTAGTTTAAACGTTCTGGATTTATACGCTACAAAATTGCAGTATGCAAAATTCAATTTTAGAGAAAATACTTACCAGTATTGATGCGACGCACGTCACTACGTTGCCCAGTGCAGTCCACGCTCATAGCTGTGACTGACACGTTGTACGCCTGACCACACGCCAGGCCGCTGATGTCACAGGAAGTGCTGCTGGAGTTGCAGGTTAGCGTATGTCCATTATCATCTACTGCTGTTACTGTATAGTATGAAACAAGGCCACTAGATGCTGCCCAGGAAACAGATGCAGTGTCCGACCCACAAGATAATGACACATTGACTTGAGTGGGAACACATGGAGCTGGAAAGGAAAAGAGTCATGCACAAAATCAGAAGATTTTAGCGCAATGGATCATTTGATGCAAGAAGAATCGCCAAATTAGAGTTTAATCTAAATGCACTGTGTTGTTATTTGATGTTATACCTGTGTCAAGAGTGACCAAGGTTTTAGAAGAGGTTGAACAGGTCTGGCCGTGTCCTGTAACACTGATGTTATAGTGCTGACCACACGGCAGTGAACTGATGCTGCAGGAGGAGCCGTTGGTGAAGCAGTTGTGCTTTTGTGGATCCTGGAAAGACTGCAGTGTTGCATTGAAACTTAGCGAACCATTGCCTGGTGTCCAAGAAATGAGTGCTGAGTTGGTGCTGCAGTCCAGACTGGCTTGAATGCCAGTGTTGGGACATGGTGCTGCAACATGACAAAAATGTTAACACGTCAAACTGCAGTATATGTTTTTACATTTACTGAATGGTGCATGCCATGCACGTTGCAGCGTTATGCAAATCTTCCCACATCGTGACGTAGACATGTGGGGGTGTGTTAGAACGAACCGTTTTAGGTAGGTGTGGCTGACTCTTAACTTTTATAAAGAATATCTCTTTGGATTTGAGACTTTAGTCTTTGCAACTTTACAGATCTTCTTTATGCACCAAGAGCTTGTAACACTCCACAGAGAAAGTAAAAATTGACTGTAGCTTCCGCTAACTGTCGTACGCGTGTTTACGAGATAGTGGCGTTCCAGCGGATGACATAGGATGAAAGTATGTTGCTATATGGTTGCTAGGATGTTCTGGGTGGTTGCTAATAGTTCAGGAAAACTATTGTGTTTCTCCAATCTCTAATTGTCACTAATGAGCTAGAGTTCAATACCTGAGACGAGAGTGACAGGCTGGCTAGCCGGGCCCATGCAGTCACCATTCATGCCCATGACTGTGATGGAATATTCCTGGCCGCACTGCAGGTTTGGGATATCACAGTGTGTGACAGTGTTGTTGCAGGACGTCTTGTACCCTTGGTTGCCTTCTGCCTTTACCAAGTACCAAGTGGCTCCAAGGGCACTGTGCCAGGTGATGGAAGCAATGTTGGATGTACAGTTTAGAGCAGCAGCGACATTGGAGGGAATGCAGGGTGCTAGAGAAGAGAAGAGGAAGTTATATGAAAACATAGGCTATATAAAAAATATTTATATAAAACGTGTATACACTATACACTACTGTTCAAAACTTTAAGGGTTAGTAAAATGTTTTTGAAAGAAGTTTCTTATGCTCACCAAGGCTGCATTTATTTTATGAAAAACACAATTAAAAAATTTGATATTGTGAAATATTATTATAATTGAAAATAACTGTCTTCTGTTTGAATATATTTTAAAATGACATTTATTCCTGTGATGTCAAAGAGGAGTTTTCAGCAGCCATTATTCCTTCAGTGTCACATTATCCTTCAGAAATCATTCTAATATGCTGATCTGGTGTGCAAGAAAAATTTCTTATTAGTTGATCTGCTCAATATTTTTGCAGAAACAAAGGTTAATTTTTTCAGATTTTTTTTTTTTTATAGAAATTTCAAAAGGTCATTTATTTGAACATGATCAATGTTGTCAATGTCAAATTAATGTGTCCTTACTTAATTATTGATTTCTTTCCCCCAAAAAATCTTACTGACCCTAAAATGTTTGAATGGTAGTGTATTATTTTTTTTATTATTGAAATACATTATATATATAAAGTATATAGGTATATATTATTTATAGAATTGGATAAAATAAACCACCAAATGCCACTTTTTTCTATCTAATGCATTGAAATTCATATATCTAATGTATTTAAGGAACACATTTTTCTGTACACGTTGTTATGAATCACTGAAATTAGCAAATGTTAATGTGAGCTGACACCTGTTTCCACTACAGCTTTAGGTTGAGAGCTGCTGTTGCAGGTGGCGCCATCAGCTTGGACAGTTACATTTAGTCTCATCCCACACAGCAGAAAGGTCAGCTGACAGGAAGTCCCCATAGAGTGACAAGAAGCTAAGCGTTGCTGCTGCCCGTCTGTTGCCATTGCCGTGTACCCATTAGCTCCCGCACTGGCAGCCCATGTCACGTTGGCCGTGTTGGTGTCACACTGGAGCACAGTTGTGATGTTCTGAGGGTCACAGGGAGCTAAAGGAGATACATAGTCAGTTTCAAAGGTCTGTTATTACTGTGTAAACATGAGCATGTATGCTCACTTGACTGTTACCTGACTGTATCTGAATGGGTGTGGATGGCAGACTTCCACATTGACCATCATTCCTTGTGGCGGTGACGTTGTAGTTCATTCCGCAGAGCAGGTTTGCGAATGTGCAGTTAGAGCTGGAGCTGCAATTAACTGAGTGCCCATGTTCATCCTGCAGTACTGCTGTGTTCAGACTCCCAGTCTGAAGGGCCTGCCAACTTACGACTGCGTGATTTGCTGCACAGTCTCTAGTGACCCCCATGCTGACCGGAGCACATGGAGCTACAATGGAGAATGTATCAGATTTACTTGGTATACAGCAAAAATTCATTTGTTTTACTTTTATATAAAAGTATAAAAACAGTAAAACACTTACGTCAAATATTTTAGAGAAATGATTTTGCTGGTGAAATATACAATTCCTTTTTGGCTTAAAGGGACAGTTCAATCCAAATTGAAATTCATATTAATATATAAAATGTTAAGTATAAGATTTAAAAAAAAGATAAGATTACCATTTTGTAATTTTTATTTTAACATTTTTTGTTTATTTTTTGTCACGATATTTTTTATATTTTAAATATCTGGGCCCCTTTATTTATCCTCTCTTATTGTTTTATTTTACATTTTAAAAGTATGTCCCTTTTTCTTTATCCTTTTTTTTGTACATTTTAAATATCTGGCCACTTTAATTCATCCCATTTTATTTTTTTATTTTAATTATTTGTTATATTACATTTTAAATATATTGCCTCTTTTAATTATCCTGTTTTATTTTTTATTTTACTTTTTATCTGGGCCTTTGTATTAATTATTTTACACTTTAAATATTTAACCTTTTATTCATACCATTTTATTTTTTTATTTTATAATATTATTTTTTACATTTTAAATATCTGGCATTTTTTATTCATCCCCTTTTAAGTTTTGTTTTATGATTATTTTACGATATTATTGAATTTTACATTTTAGATGTCCGGTGTCATTTAATACCTACTTAAAAATTTTTTTACACAGTTTGTATTTTATAAACGTGTATTATACACGTTTATAAATGTATTTTTGTATTTTTAAATATGTGGCCCTTTTTATTTATTCCTTTTTATCATTATTATGACTCTTTTTTTATTAATTGTTATTTTACATTTTAAATATCTGTTCCCTTTTATTCTTCCCTTTTATTTTTTTGCTTTAGATATTTTTTTTTAGTCTCATCCCTTTTTATTTTTAATTTTACATTATTTTTTGTTTTACATTTTAAATTTATGTCCCCTTTTCATCATCCTCTTTTATTTTTGGTTATTTACATTTTAAATATCTGACCCCTTTTATTTATTTATGTTTTATTATCTGGCCCCCTTGCCCCCTTTTTTATTTTAGTTTTCACATTATTTTATAAATAAACCAGATAAAGAAATTAATTTTAAATATCTAGCAATTTCTATTCATCCAACTTTTTGTATTTTACTTGGTAATTTATTTTGCATTTTAAATATCTGGCCCCTTTTATTCATTCTTTTTGATAATCTGTGTACCTACCTGTCTGCCGGGTGACATGTTGACTCTCAGAACTGTTGCATTTCAGGTTAGTTGACATGACATACACATCATACGCCTCGCCGCATCGCAGGTCTGGGATTGTGCACTCTGCCGCCATGGCAACACAGGTGTGAACTGTGCCATTCACGTGAGTCGCCATTCCGATGTAGAAGATGGCACCGTTGGCATAGTTCCATGTGAGAGAGACGGAGTCTGAACTACAGGTCTCCACAGCAGACACGTTCTGAGGTATGCAGGGAACTACAGTGGGAGATAAAGAGACATAGTGTAGTATCATCATCTAATACCATGCCACAGTACTTTTTTGTAAGTGCATATTCCTATACCACTATATATATTGCAATTTAAAGAATACCATTGTATTACCACAGTACCCAGAATCACTCACCTGTCTCTGCTACATCTCCCAGCACAGGATCAGTAGTGCATTCACCATTTGTGGCAACAATCCACACGCTCAGGCTCTCTCCGCAATCCAGATCTGTTATCGTGCAGCTTGTGTTTGCAGACGTACAGTTGTAGAAATCTTTACGATTACCGCGGGCCTCCACAACGTAGGCCTCGGCTCCTGCGGCCTCGTCCCAAGTAATGATGGCACTGCTGATGCTATTACAGTTTGCAATCGTGTAGATGTTCTGCGGCAAACATGGGGCTTCATGGGTAAGGAGACAGATGGGGCAAAAATGAATATTTATATTTAAAACAAGTCAAGACACTTTATATAGCGCTTCAAACAATACAGATTGTTTCAAAGGAGCTTCAGATTAATAAACAGGAAAATAACAGTGTTAATGTTGAAGTTCAATCCGGCTCCGAAGTAGCTAATTTTTTCACCTCAAGTCAGTTCAGTTCTGTCATGACAACTCTCGGAGGGATTGGCATGGTAATGTACATGACAGTGTTAATGTATTTGATCATGGCGGAATAGATCTGCTATGCTGCTAATGCAAATGAGTGATCGCGCTGGCGCCTCCATGTCCTGCAAAGCACGCTTCAGCTTCCACTCTCTGCGCAAACTATTGGATATAACGCACATTTATCTAGGTTTAACGTCTAAACATTGTGATATGCTTGAACTGTTTTATATCTATAGCTTTTATTTTAGGCAAGTCGTGATGATTTGAGAAGGCTAAATTGATTTTTTTAAAATTGTGTTCAGCATGGTGGGCCGCATTTGAATTCGTGATGGGCCGCATGCGGCCCACGGGCCGCGGGTTGAGAACCACTGAGTTAGACCTATCGGACTGCACCATCTAGAGTTTCATGCCAGAACTCTGTTTTTCAATAACAGTGTTGATATTGCAGAGTTGGTGTCATAATCCAGCTTAATTCAATTCAAATTTTGTTCCCATCCAATATTGTTAGTGCAGTTAAATCGATAATATAATTGTCTTTTAAATGGCTTCTGAACCCGAAAACAAACACACAAACATAAACAACTGCAAAATTATGTGTCCCATGGAAAATCATGGAAAATTAAATATTTATTGATTTTTACCAAAATGACCAACTCACCTGTTTTGATCACCACACCCTCTGTGTTTCCACTGTTGCAGTCTAGTCCTCCGGAGTAGACGGCGCTGACGTAGAAGCTGTAGGTTTGACCACAGACGGTGTCGGTGAAATAACAGGAGGTTTCCCCAGTGACGCATTCCATTACCAGGTCATCCGAGTCCACAGCAATGGCGAAGTAATAAGCCGTGTTGTTGGTGGGCTCCCACGAGAATAAGATGACATTAGTGGAGCACTCGCGGTACACTTTTGGCGCTTTGGGTGGGCATGGTGCTGTTAGTTTGAGAGAAGGGGGAAAGAAATGCATTTGCTAGTGAAATATACAATTCCTTTTTGGTTTAAAGAGACAGTTCACCCAGAAATGAAAGCCCATGTTGTTTGAAACCTGTATGACTTACTTTCTTCAAACGCAAAAGGAGATATTTTCAAGAATAACCGCTGTTTTGTCTATACAATGAAAGTAAATGGGGTCCAAAATAAACAACATTGGACCCCACTGACTAATTTTATGGACAAAATCCCTCCAAAATATCTTCTGCAGAAGAAAGAAAGCCATACCGGTGGACATGAGGGTGATTAATGATGACAGAGTTTTCATTTTTGGGTGGAGAGTAGATAAAAAACAACCTGAGAGAGATAACCTTAGAGAAGGCAGGTAGATTTACTAACTTAAGGGCTAAGTTAGGACTGCCACCTGATACCGCATTACCTTCCATAAAAAATATCTGCCTCAATAGATCGTAAAGCTCATTAAATTTACATGACAGTAATTCCTGGGTGTGTTCCCCCTCAGACTTGCTACACCACGACAGGATTTCCTGCTCACCTCCCAGAGGACTGGATCAGGTGTGAGTGTGACCTTTGAGAAAGGACATCTTTACCTGTCTCAAAGATGTAGCTGCCGTCGGAAGTGCTTTCACAGTTAGCGATGGCTGTAATCCGTATGGCGTACCGTTCTCCACAGACCAGATTCGAGATCTGGCAGGTGGTGTCCGTGGAAGTGCAGTTGAGCGACTGGCCTTGACCATCTGTAATGACGGCACGGTACGATGTGGCACCAAAAACCACATCCCAACTAACCGTTGCCGTAGAAGTACTACAGCTGTACTCCACAGAGATGGAGGAAACTGTTGCAATGGCTGAGATAAACAAGAAGTAATATGTTATATATCTGCATATCCAGATGCTGCAAAAACCAGCATTGGTTTCTAGGCTTGGTTTATGCTTAGTATTGATTCTGGACTAGAATTTTCTTAAAGGAAGTCTTGGTTAGGCAAGTCTAGAAGCAACCGAAACACATCAAGGCATAAATCTACTGCTTTATGATTTCATTCAAAGGTTTCGCTCTGAAATGTTCTGCCTCATCTTGACTTACTGGAAGTTGAGTAGGTGACATTATTGGACTCTCCTGGTTCAAGGAACATGTTGATAGATGCAACCCCTATTGTGTATGTTGTACACGGCTCCAGGTTTGAGATGTTCACAGAGGCAGCAGTGACATTCTTAATAAGCGGGGGAAATCCCGGCTTGTTATTGGCCATCACTGAAAGCTGGTAAAGCAGGACACCTGAGACACTGTTCCATGTTACGCTAGCCGTGGTCTGCGTTAACTTGTTCACAGCCACATTATCTGGTGGCTGCACCACTGTGGAACAAAAATATTTTCTTATTGTCAATTATAGAAAGGCAAGATTTCATTGACAGGGTAGCAAAGCTGCTGTAAAATAGCACAAAACTGGAAAGAACTGTGAGTAGACTTACATGTTTTGATGGTTCTGACAAGGCTCTTGGTGCCGAGCCCTGCAGAATTGGCGGAATAAATGTAACAGCTGTACGAAGTGGCTCGCTGGAGGTTGTCTATCTGTCCACTTAGTGAGGTGAATGTGAGGTTATGAGTCTCAGGATGGAAAGTTCCATTCACCACCAAAATGTATTTATCGGCTCCTTGTGCACTGGACCAGTCAAACCTGATGGAGGTGCTTGATATTGCCTTTGAATATGTTATTTGTGAGGTGGCAGGAACTGCATGCACAAATGAAATGAAATTAATTAAAAATGTAACAAGTCCATAAATTTGTTAAGAAATGTGTGGGTCGATAACTTACTTGTCTGTGCTGTCTGGGAGTTGATGCATGTCACATAATTGAACACAAACACTTTAAAAGTCACTAGATAAATGTTTCCCGGTCTTAAGCCTTGGACCAGTCGCTCCACAGCGGACGCAGTGAGTGTAATAGTGACAGGTGCTGTGTTGGTTGCATTCACAACCCTGACATCCAGAATATAGTTTGTCGCTCCTGTAAACTTGTTCCATTTTACAAGCAGAGATGATGCAGTGGATGATGATATTGATGTTATGTTACAGTCTGGAGGAGACAAAAATGTCAAGATACAACAATGTGCACTAATACTATATATTTAGTTAAATACATTTCTAAAGTTTAAAAAAAAAAAAAAATTCCTAATATAAATGAAACACAATTTACTGAGCTGTGATACATAATTTTAAACATTATTAATATTCTAAAATAAATATTAAATACGTATTTAAATACTTACTTGCGGTAGCTTCTTTTACCTTCGAACAAAGAAAAATATGATACTCAAATTAATCATAAGGATTTCAAAGGCAAAAAATGAACAATAAATCATTAACGGATCATAAAAGATTAATAAATACCTGTGTCACTGAAAATAGCGTTACAAAGATGCACAGTGTTCCTGGAAGATGCATCTCTGATTTGATGTATAAGGTGCTAATAAGTTACAGGTAAGTTATGATACATGCGCTTGCTAATATGGAGAGAAATCTGAAATATTTGGTGGCACGGTGCAAGTATACCTGCTCTGTGAGAACCAATCAGTGCATCCAAAATGCAAAATGAGGGCAGGTGGATGCCTCTGGGCTGAAGACATCATCTAAGTAACTCTGTGTGTGTGTGTGTGTGTGTGTGTGTGTGTGTGTGTGTGTGTGTGTGTGTGTGTGTGTGTGTGTTTTAATAGGTAAAGGGTAGGCTGGGGGTCTAGTGGTTATTGTTTGACAAATTAAGACCACAAACTTTGACACTAGTTCTTTCTAGATATGCGCCATATTTTTTATAATTAGTTTAAATGAAGAGCATACTGGTATGTTAGGATTATTTTTGAGTAAGTGATATAGGATAGGTTGTTAGTCATTAGGTTTCAGGGAAACAGGCTCAGGATAATGGAAAGAGTGAAATTCCCATCCTTGTACTAGCTTGCCTCAAGCAGTCTGGTGTAATGTTAAAGAAAGATTAAATTACTGGATATTAAACATATTTCCCCTATTATTTCACTTTAATACTGGTTTAATATTGTCTTCTGTAATGATGATGTTGAATTTGTGAATGGGTTGGTCTTTTGAATTTGTTTTCCCAATAAATGACATGAATACTGATTGAAACCAATTTGCATATTTGACTCATGTAAGGTTGCAACTGAATTGAATCAGTTCAGTTGGATTGATGACTGGTTTCAGTAAATCATTTATTATCAAGTTATTAATTTACCTTTCACTGAATTCACAATGGTACATTAACTGAAAAGGAGTTAATACTGTAAATGGAGTTTTTTTTTTAGTGTAATGGAGTTTTTTTTTAGCGTTATTCTTTTTAATGCCATTGTTTTTATATTAAATATATTTTTTAAAAATTGAAAACTTTTTTAGCTTTCTTAATTCTTTAATCTGCATCTTAAGCTGAATATTGGCTGATATAATGATAAAAATGACAAACTAGTAGCCAAAGATCATACATGTGCAGTTAATTTGCCAATAAAAGTGAAACAGGTGCAAAACTGTAGCTATTTAGCTTTCTTTTTTCTTTACCAAATCATATATAGAGAGAGAGATTTTGAAAGAATTTCAGCTTTATTCTGTAAGTCATTAACTTTCTTTGTGTGTATTTTGATAAAAGCTTTTTTATTGTTTATTTTAGTCACTGTGTCATTCATTCAACTTATGTAATCTTGTTTCGGAAGCAGTTCTTTTTTTCTCTGATTTTTTCCCCACTTCTCTTCCATCAGGATCATTTAGCTTACAATTTCCTGTAAGGAAGTGGCCGTAGGTCACACCTGTCTAATACATAACTGCTAATGCTATATCTTATTTCTTCTAATATTATAAAGTTTAAAAGTCTAGAGCCTCGTCACTGCAAAATATGAGAGATCTTCCTTTCTGAGCTGCACTGGGAATGCCGAAAGCACTAGAATGTTACGCTATCAAAATTCATCATTGTGCCTAAAACAGTGTGTGCTGGTACTTTAAAGAGAAAGAGAATGAAGGAATAGAGTGTCTTTGTCTCGGTCTCACTGATCCCAGAAAGAAGAAGCTATAAGGGAAAGCAAATCTGCCTCTTCGATTCAGAGCCTGAAACATACACCCAACTCTGTGTCCAGCCAGCTCAAATGGTTTTTGATGGTGGTTAAGATCAGTGTCTTTAATGTTATAGTTTATTTTACGTTAACACAGGTGGAGTTCAGGCCTGATCCGGTTTGCTTCCCAGTAGTGAATGAGAATCACTTGTTTAATTCATCTCTTCTGTGGAAGCACTAATCATAGTTTTTGAGAAGGAGCTTGATTCAGACTTAAACAGAAAGTGCACCTTCATAATTATAATGAAAGGTGACGTTGGAACTTAAGTTGCATATAAACAAAACGTTTAACTTTGAACAAAGTTCCATCACAACCATCATACTTTGTCCTTCAGAACATCGCCGAAGATGCTTTATTACTTTATTAATGTGGCCCTTTTGTTCTTCAGGAAACTTGGAGTATGTTCAGGTATGATGCACTGAAGTAATGTCTGATGTTTCTCCTCAAATTCATTGAAAAAGTTGAAACAAATGAGACAGAGTAAAGGGCTATAATATTAATGTGCTAATACACTACACAGCTTTTAGTCCCACTTCATATTTGGTGTCTTTAAATACTATGTACTTAATAAAATAATGATTAACTGATAATGATAATTGTTGTGTGCCTATTGTGTTCATGTTTAATTGCTAAACACTTTTGCTGCTATTGAGGTGGGATACAGGTAAGTTTAGGGACAGGTTTGGTGGTATGATTAGGTTTAAGGGGTAGATGTAACTACAGAAATTAATTACGGGTGTAAATACAGGATGGTATTTTCAAATACAGGTACAATGTAAAAACGTTTATGTAGGCTACACAATAATTGCATTGTATCAAATGATTAATTTAAATGTAAGAACATAATAGTTAACGACACCTATAAAATGGGTCCCAACTTTTCAGATCTGAACACCTATTAAAACACTGGGCTTCACACATTTGGCTTTGTACAACTTTATAAGACTTACAGAGTAAGACACGCAAAAACATATGGAAGCCCGTTAGGCCTAAAGAGCACAAAGACTTCTTGTCTCACGATTGTGACCTTTTTATCTTGCAGTTGCGAGTTATTTCTCACAACTGTAACTTTTCTTCCCAGTTTTTTCTTCTTCTCACAATTCTGAGAAAAGCCCGAGCTGTGAGATATAAACTCGCAACGACCTTTTATCTCACAATTCTAATATTCTTTTCTCACAATTTTCAGTTTATATCTCACAAGTCAGACATTGTTTCTCAGAATTGCGAGTTCGTCTCACAATTCTAACTTGCTCAGAATTGCGACAAATAAACGCACAGCTGCGAGTTTATGAGTCGAAATTGCGATATGCAAAGTTGCAATTTTTAGAAGAAAAGTCAGAATTGTGAGATGTAACCTTACAATTGCGAGAAGAAGAAAAAAATCAGAATTGTGAGATAAAAAGTAAATGTCAAAATATCAAACATGTTTCATATCCAAATGGATGGATTCATAGTCTGAAGCGAAAATAAATATAGTCTGTGTCCATAATACATTACGTGATATTCTGTGAAATCTAGCTCTGATTTTCGGAAACTAGCGTCGACTCATGCAGTAAATTGGAGCAAAAATCTTTGCAAAAGTTGTATAGTATATTCCACAGACGAATCTGAGATTAGCCTACTTGGGCCTGTTGCTTAGAAGAAAAATATTAGAATCAGGAGATTTAATGTCTTGTAGTAGAAACCAAATCTTTAAGTATTTGTTTACCTGGTATAAGCGTCATCAGTAATCTTTCCCACAGGATGAATGATCAGTGTCTTTATGGCACGCGTTTGAGGCACATCTTTTCTCTCAGAAGCTATACATTGCTCACGTTTTAGGCACCTAATGTTCATGCAAGACAATGACAGGTCCGTCTCACGTTCTACCCGCATGCTGTAGGTATGGTATCTCTGTCATATCAGTGCATCTGTCAGCAATGTTATTGTTATATTTATGCATTTTGCTGACACTTACACAAAGCTACTTAGAGTGCACTCACAGTACTCTATGATATATCAAAATATTAGTTCTTTGGCCAGTTTTCTATTATAGTTAATATATCCCAAAGTATTAAACTGGGCATGAATGCTTCAAATCATGTGACTTTTTGAGTAGTTGTGCGCTATTACTTAAGTGGTTAGACTCATAGTTGTAAAAAAAAATAAAAAAATTCCACCTGATGGACAATAAAAGAGACAAAAAAAAATCCATTTTGATTGCAGCACTACTTACAAGTTCTTAAAAAATGTAAAAATCTAAAGAAAATGTCAGTGGTCCTTGCCAATGCAAAACCAATGGCCACAATAATAGAATGTTGTGGGTACTTGCTATAACATTGCTATTATGGCTGCTGTGATGTTACTAAATGTTTGCAAGGTTGTTCCGGGTGGTTTTATATGTCATGTGGTATTTGGGTTTTTTGGGTGGTTGCTAATTAGCTTCAAGTCTCTATACCATATTCTGGTTTTCAGTGTAAATCTGTGGAAGGTTTTCATCTGATTTGAGGTATTGCTCACACCCATAGCACAGATGGTGCAGGATGAGTTACTGAAGTTTAATATTTATTGTTCAGGGTGTGTTCAAATCCAGTACTGGTAACAGTGATGCTTATCTTAGCAAGTGCCACTAAATATGGTGTTATGTAAGAGAACATAATATCTTCTGGTGTGTTAGTTTTCATGAAGTAGATGATAACACAGCTCAGGAATCTATGTTTGTGCCGTGGATTTGTTTCTTTTGTGTGTCATGCCATGTCTTTGAGGTATTTTGCAGCTTAAAATGATAATATTTCCCATCTGGGTTTCATTTATCAATACATGTGCCATTAGATAGATAGAAAAATATGCATGTGAGCCAGTCGTGTGCTGATCTTCAATGACAAGGTAGAGAAAGAGGAAGTTCCTATCAACTGATAAATGTGTGGTTTGTGTCTTTTGACATTTGAGATGGAAAACTTTTGTTCTTGTTCTGACTGTTTACACCAGTTATTAGAAACAGAACAGTATTGTCAAATTGTGCAAAAAAAATTGTCAAATAAATGTAATAGCGTTTAACATTTAGTCAATCTAAAGAATTAGTGCGTTAACTTTAGCAGCACTATAACGTACATAAAATAAATATATAAATAGCAAATAGTGGAAAAAAATCTGAAATGTTAATAAAAAAAATATTCTCAATATGTAATGCTTCATGCTGTTTATTAAGAGTACTAAAGGCTGCTATTGTATTGAGGTTCTCAGGCTGTAGGTCATTAGTAAACATACATATTTTGCAAATTCAATGTAATATATCATCCAAAGTACACATGACCTGGGGCGGACACTGAACATGAAACTTGTGCTGTTCGAATTTCCCATCCTAGTTCAGAGGAGGTCTACCCTGTATAAAACACACTGGTCCACTCCCTTTGGAGGCTTGCTGCTTAGGGGAATTCCTACAAATGCTTATAGTGTTGTTCGAATCATTACACTACATTAACATAGTCATTTTTCTTGTGACATTATGATATTACTTTTTTTGGACATGTAAACATTTGGGCTTCATGACATGCTTTGAATATCAGGAAATTACAGTATAAATGCAAACTTCATAATACAAAGGAAATGTATGTATAAAATATCACACATTTAGAAATGGTTAACAATTTGATTGAAAAATATATATTTTTGTTGTCATGTTTAAAAGACCTTAAAGATACACATACATTTTCATTGAGCCAATTGTTATAGGTATTGCTGGCAAACAGTATATAAATGTGGCGAGATGAAAGTGGTGAGAAGAGAATGCCCTGTTGTCTCCATTGATGACGTCAGAGCTCCATCTTCTTTCATCTGTGCCCTTTGACAGAAGACAAAAAGACATGAGAACCGGACATTTGCGGGAGGTCCAACTTTGATCATATACACACTGAAATGTATATGGCCTATACATCATTCATGTCATGTCAAAGACAAGATCCTGCAACATTCTCATAATAGTTTTGTCTTTTTTTTCCACAGCATCTTATCACACACACACACACACAGGTTTGTTTTTGTGAAAAGTGGGGACTCTCCATAGGCGTAATGGTTTTTATACTGTACAGACCGTATATTCTATTGCCCTTCACCAACCCTACCCCTAAACCTACCCCTCACAGGAAACATTGTAGTAATTGTTAAAAATCAAATAAAAATAGTAATGCATTACGTACAGTAAGGAGGATCTAAGGACAATCACCAGTGGGAATTACATTTAAAGAAAAAACAAAAAGGGGAAGTGCTTAATTGTCATGAAAAGAATGTCTTAAGTAGGATTTCTTTTAAAATATGATTTGATTTTTTCAGACTTTATAAGATTTATTTTTATTCCTAAATGTTTTAAGACAAGTAACAAGACACTTTATCATTTATCATATCTGAAGACATTTTGACTGAGATGCGCATCTGGAGTCCCAAGAGCACAAGTGTCATATTTTATTGTCACAGGCTGTATAGAAATAAACATGTCCACATGTCTTATGGTGATCTGATCTTATGGTGGACACAAAGGCCTCCAGTTTCGGATGCCCTGGGTAAATCTTTCCCATGAGACTCCGCATCTGTGTGTGATGACAGCAAATGTAAACATTCAGTCATAATTTATATGCAATTACTCACAAAAAGGTTTTAGTCCACACTCCTCCGGCCTCGATAGATCACTGCAGATCCACAGAAAAGCAGTTATATAGCACTGAGTCATAGGGAATGTGCTTGGAAGAGCTTGTCATTTCTAAATGTCTATTTTTTGACGTGTATATTTTTTAAAATAGTACTATATAATATTCAAATGATATAATATTATATTAATATATATTATAAATATTTAAAAGTGTATGATTGAAGATGAGTTTCAATAAGAATACACACCCATTCCCACAGTGTTTCCAGAACAGGAGACTGAAAAAAAAAAAGAAAGAAACGTCATTTTATAAGATTAAAATGTGATGTTTTATTCATATTTTTTTTCTTGTTTTATTTAAAATTATAACATCATTTTGTACCTGAGTAGAGTCTTCTGGGGCAGTATGTGACCTTCAAACCCTCTTGTGTTAAGGGAGCGACCACGACAGTGTATACTTCCCCACACAGGATCTCAGAGATGTCACATCCATGAGCCCCATTTGTGGCACTGCAGGTGTGGTTGGATCTGGTACCGTGCAGGTCGGCTGTGTAGTTGTACAGGCCTGGAGAAGAGCGCCAGTACACCCGAAGAGTGTTGTTATCCATCCGGTAGAGTCTCACGCTGGACGGACAACACGCACCTGAGAGAGGTTACAGATAATGAAAATGAGATAGAATGGTGAAAGTTTCCATTTTTCATTGATTTATTCAAAACTTTGCGTAAATCATTCTTAAAACCATTAACAAGTATGATTATATTGAATCTATGCAAAAAATGGTTTTACAACTGATTTACACAGACATTTTGCTTGTTTCTTTATTCCAACTGTAATTTATTTTATTTTATTTAATTTCATTCATTTTAAATATATTTTTAAATTAGACATTGGATAAACAATATGTCACATTGTCATATATTAGATTTTCATTTTTTATTTCTCAATCACATGATGTTGTTTTAATGAAACCCTTTACTTGACTTTACTTGTGCTTTGTTTTATTATTAATCATTTCACTTTTTTATTTGTAATTAATCTTCATTCTTTTTACTCTCATATATTGTTTTTGTCTTTGTTTTCTTAAGTGCACTGAGAATCTATCTTTAAAGGTACAAGTATTCATAATATTCGTATAAATAGGAATAATAAATGTAATAATACTAATAACTACTATTATTACTATTATTATTATTTTAAAGAAAGAGCACAAGCTTAAAATATAAATCGACAGAAGAACACCAGGTTGAATTAAAAGCATCTACTAGAGTAAATGACTATTAACCAGTCAAATGTTTGCAAATGCTGAATCTGTAGTGAATAATTTTGTGTTTTGTTTTTTTAATAATTTCAATTTTTTTATTTTTAATTCTTTATTATTATTATTTTAAATATTTGTATTTAATTCCTTATTATTAGTTTTCTTATATGAATTTAAAACTATTTTAAGGGTGTTATATATAAAAATAAATATTAATCATATAAAGCTATAATTAATCATATAAATAGATAGATAGATGGACGGACAGACGGACGGACGGACGGACGGACGGATAGATAGATAGATAGATAGATAAATAGAATGTGAACAAGCACTTCTCAAGAAAAGAAGTTTGTTGGAAAAAGGACACCATGTTTAATCTAAAGCACATACTCGAGTAAATGACTAGTAACCAGTTATGTGGTTAAATATGTTAGTGTCTAATCTGTAGTGATGCCATGAGAAAGCTACTTTACTCACTTGCAGAGAAACCGTGGTAACTGCACTCTGATTTATGTCCAGTAATGCTGAAGGCCTCCAGCGACACATTGTAGCTGGTGCCACATGTGATGCATCCCAGCAGGCAGTGGTTGTCCATGGTGTGACATCTGGCGTGACCTCTGGGGGATGTCAAAGAGGTGACATAAGACCGCGCCCCTGTGGCAGCCGACCAAGTGATGTTTGTCATAGACTGGGTCACCTGCTCAACACTCAGAGTTTCTGGACAACAGGGTCCTGGAGAGAGAAAGGGGACATTTATTTATCGCTTGACCATTGTCAACCATTAATTATCTATTTCCGGATGTTTTCTATCTTCATTACTGCACCTGTTTCCAGGGGAATGGAGTAGCTGGGAAGACTCTGTCCTGCTGTGGTTGTGGCGTAGGTGCTGACGTCATATGTGGATCCACAGGACACACTGATGTAGCAGGAAGTGCCGCTGGATGAGCAGGTGAGCAAGTGGGGGAGACCTATGGCGATCACAGTGTAGTTAGCCTCGGTGTTTTTAGCCATCCAGAACACCTCCACCGTGGAAGAGTTCACCTGAGTCACGTTGAGGATCACAGGGGCACAGGGAGCTGAGAGAAAGAGAAATAAGCTTAATTTCATAAAAACTGATACCATGTTACAGTGATAAGATCATATGTGACCCTGAAGCACAAAACCAGTCTTAAGTAGCACGAGTATATTTGTAGCAATAGCCAAAAATACATTGTATGGGTTAAAATTATAGATTTTTCTTTTATGCCAAACATCATTAGGATATTAAGTAAAGATCATGTTCCATGAAGATATTTTGTAAATTTCCTACTGTAAATATATCAAAACTTAATTTTTGATTAGTAATATGCATAGCTAAGGACTTCATTTGGACAACTTTAAAGGCAATTTTCTCAATATTTAGATTTTTTTTGCACCCTCATATTCCAGATTTTCAAATAGTTGTATCTCCGCCAAATGTTGTCCTATCCTAACAAACCATACATCAATGGAAAGCGTATTTATTCAGCTTTCAGACAATGTATAAATCTCAATTTAAAAAACTGACCCTTATGACTGGTTTTGTGGTCCAGGGTCACATATAGTATAGCAATACTATAGTACTTTGAAATATACCATGGTAATGAAACTAAAGTTATTCCGATTATTTTAGGAAGACTTTTACTATTTTCACTTTGTGTTTTGTTTTATTTTAAAAAATAATTTTTTTCTACCCATGTTAATTTTGTTTCATAAATAATTGATTTTATTCTTTTTTTATTTATATTTTTAAATATGTTTAATGATTTTTTAATTTCATATCTTGTTTTTGTCATTTTGTTTTTATATATAAAGTGCATTGAAAAGCTACCTTTAAATGTGTTATATAAAAACAATATTAATATTTATATAAATCATTAATATTTTAATCATAATCATAATAATATGTAATATTATTATTACAATACTAATATTATAACGTGGTATTTTTGGAAGTACTTTGAGCATCATATATAATATACAGTATTTTAACATATGTTATTACATATAGTATATGTACTATATGTTAACAATAATAATGATAACAACAACCATTGTTGTTGTTAATTGTTGTTTATATTGTATGTACATGTTGGTTAAAGTACTTAAAAAATACCATGGTAAGTGTACCACAAAACATGGTATTCCATGGTACTTAATTTTATGTGGTATACCACACACTAGTAATTTATTTTTTATATCTTTGTTTTATAATGTTAAGTGCATTGCGAAGCTACGGAGCCCCGCACATGACATGCAAGAAAATAAATTAAAAAATAAATAAATCGTGCCCACGATTTACTAATTCGTTCCCTCGATGTACTAAAACGTGCACACGATTACTATTTTGTTCCCTCAATTTGGTAAATCGTGCGCACAATTTACTAATTCGTTCTCTTGATTTATAAATCGTGTGCACAATTTATAAATCGAGGAAACGAATTAGTAAATTGTGCGCACAATTTATAAATTGAGGGAACGAAATAGTCAAACGTGCACACGATTTAGCCTACTATTTTTTTCCTGCATGCCATGTGCGGGGTTCCGTACGAAGCAACTTTTAAAGGTACTATGTACAAATATATTATTAATATTTATATAAATATCATTAATATTTCTAATAATAATATAATTATAACAGTATTTCAGAAGTACTTTGAGAATCATGTAAATGCAAAAATAATAATAATAATAATAATATTGATTATTATTACTATAATTTATTATTATTATTACTATTATACCATTGTATTTTTGGAAATACTTTGAATAAATGCAATTGTATTTGTATTTGTATATGAAATTGTATTTATACAATGTTAATTTCAATAATTGTTACATTATATTTACATTGTATTCAAAGTACCTAAAAAAAACATGTTACTATTATTGTAACTATACAACAAAACATGGTACCATCATGGTACTTTTTGTATGCGGCATATTGCCCAGCAGTATCTTGTGGGTTCACATGCAAATGAGCATTTATGTGTGTACCTGTTCGGCGTGTATGTGCACTACAGGTGTTATTGCATCCTTGTGTCTCACTGCAGGGCCGCACCACCACACCTTTTGTACAGTAAGAAAACATAAATAACGACTTTATTTTACAACGACATGAGGGTGAGTAATTAATGACAGAATTTTAATTTTTGGGTGAACTAACCCTTTAAGTGCATTTGAAAATGCAACATGCACCAAATGTTTTCCAAAGTTTGTAATAAGAATGGTTTATAAATCTGTTGTCAACAAAACTGAAGTTTCCCTATAGTTTTCTGCCCAAATAAAAGCCTTATGGTTTAAAGTTTGAAAGCAAAGAAAAAACAACTGTAAATATTAATATTGTACTATTAAAAATAATAATAATAAATTGCAATTAGATGTGTTTCCCCAATTTGGTCTGCATATTTTTAATGAAACAATGCATATAAAGTTTCATGGATGGTAACAATATTTATGGATGATAAATCTTAGTCACCAGCCATTGGCAGACATGTGGCAAAATGTTTTAGGACTTGCTTTCTTCTGTGGATCACAAAAGCTGATATTTTGAAAGAAGACATTCTGGGTCCAATTGGCTTCCATAGTTTGGACAAAAAATACTGTGAAGGCAATGGGACCCAAAACTGATTACTAAAATTCTTCATTGAAAATTCTTGATTCATAGTTTTATTTACATTTTACAAAATTATGAACAGATTTTCTAGTACACAGAGTCAGGCAAAACACTTCACGGAATGAGAGAATTTGTAAGGCTGAACATGCTGGTTGTGGGACACTGGGTCCCGCCTCTTTCAATTAAAAGATCCAAGCAGTTTATTGGGAAATGCATTGTGTGAACACATTCTGTTTAAAGTACTAGAAACAAGTAAGCCCTTACGTGTGATTTGGTAGACAGTGATGTCATCTCCTTGGTTACCATCTGGATCCCAGGCATTGCCCTTGATGCTGTAGGTGGTGCCAGGCTGAAGGTCAGTGAAGGTCATATTGGTCTCAGACGTGTTGAGTCTGACCCGCGTGTCTGAGCCCTCCATGGTCATGACCAGGCTGTACAGCACAGCATGGTCCACTGGATTCCACTCTATCACAATGATGTCACTGCTGGGGGAGCTGGAAATCAGATCTGGGGCTACCAACACTGCAAACAGAGAAAAAAAAAAATTTTAATAACTTAGTTTTATTAGCATAATGAAAGACAGAAGGAATAGAACATGTTGACAAAACAGCAAGTGCATAATCACAGGCAAAGACTCAACAGTTACTGCCCCTAGTGGTGAGTTTCGATCATTACAACTGAAAAAAACTAAATTAAATGGATAGTCCACCCAAATATGAAAAATCTGTTATCATTTACTCACCCTCATTTAATTCCAAACCTGTATGAGTTTCTTTCTTCTGTGGAACACCAAACAATTTTGGGTCCCATTGAGATCCCATATCTATATTTTTTGTCAACTATAGAAGACAATGGGACCATTTGGTTACCAGCATTCTTGAAAATGTCTTCTTTTGTGTTCCACAGAAGAAATAACATCATGCATATTTAGAATGACATGACAATGAGTAAATAATGATAGCATTTTTATTTTTGGGTGGACTATCCCCTTAATACACTATTATAGGAAAAATATTATTTGTTGTGAGATGTTCCAGTGCTTATCTGCAGATATACTATGATTAGTTTTAAAATTATACTAGCATAAATGTCTGATACGGACAGATATAGGATCTTGAGACGAAAACAACAACCTGCAGCGTGTCTGTTGGGTGAAATGAGATAGAGTGTAAGTTCTGTTGTTATAAATGAAACTTTATGAAACCCGTCCCTCTTATGTTACGTCAAAGCCGTTCCTTGGGGAGAAGCAACAGCCTAGTTCTCATGGTTTTATCTTTTCATTCAGTTTTGGGTATAAAGTCCAGCTCAAGGTGCAGTTACCGTCAACAGTCGGTAGAGCCAGAGGTACCAGCTCTACACAATAGCTGGAGTAAACAATACTGTGTTATTGTTACAGGTTTTAAATACCAACTCATTGTCAACCAAACAGGGAATAGTGCTCAAGTTTCCTTCTATTCTATGTTGTGTTATCTTTATAAAATGAGCTTTATATGAAAATGTCTGTGTTGGTTGGAAGGCTACAAGGTACATTTTATTTGATCTTTATAGTGTTATGCCGTGGATTTGAGGACTACGTTTTCCATAATCCATATTAAATCAGTAAAGTATGGTAGTAAACTGTTTTTGGACTGAAACGGATTAATAACCGCAGATTAGCATAATTGTTTCGAATGATATATGTATTGAACTAACATATCAAATTTGAACAAATTTATAAGTTTGAGTAGGCCATCATGCTAGTCCTGTCTGGTTTGATGGTTTTATAGGGGTTTTGGGTTTGTCATTTCCATTGCTCAGGCTGGCAGACCAGCTAGTTGGGCAGGTAACCAGTTGAAGACCACCTAAACCATGGTAAACCATCCTTTTTTTCTGTCACAAACAGCAGGGATGTTACCCTTTTTTGAAAAAAAAGAAGAAAGAAGTATAAAATAGCCAAAGTATTAAGCAAAAGGCATGTTTAAATCAAGCAGAAGGTGTTTTAATGAAAGTCATTTTACCTGTCCTAGCATTCACAGTTAGAGAAGGCTGACTCCTTCCCCCAGTGTTGACGGACATCACGCTGAGGGTGTATTGGGTGTAAGGTAGCAGACCAACCACTGTCCCGGGGGAAGTGTTCACCAGGCTTTCAGAGAAGAGCTCTCACAGTCTTGAATATTGTTACATCCTGTAGGTAAATGAGTAAATATTTAATCAAGACTGCAGTTCAACGTTGTAAGTTACTTAATTAGTCGTTTAATTTGTTAATCATTTATTTATTAAATTAATAACGCTGAGTGTGAATTGGGTGTAAGGCAGCAGACCGACCACTGTCCCGGGGGAAGTGTCCACCAGGCTTGCAGAGAAGAACCCATCCTCGTTCTCTGCCCGGATGATGTAGCTGGTGGCACCAGACACCACACCGAACTCCACTGTGATGCTGTCACTGTGTTTGGAGTAAGCCTGGTATATGAGGGGGACCTCAGGAGCTGATGGCACACAATACAAGAACATAATAATAATAATAAATGAAATTACAATAAATAAATAACCAATAGCTAAATTTCTAGAAAAATATGAATAAATTATTAATTTTGTAATGATGGTAGATAAATGCACTGTTTTTTTTTTTATTATAATAATTATAATAATTCATAATATACTAAATGAATAAACACATACAAATAAATGCATACATTTATAATTTATAGATTGTAAAGTGCCCTTCATAAAATCTGTGGCTCAGTGTTTTATTTATATACGTATATATATATATATATATATATATATATATTCATCGATATATATGGCTCTCACAGTCTTGAATATTGTTACATCCTGTAGGTAAATGAGTAAATATTTAATCAAGACTGCAGTTCAACGTTGTAAGTTACTTAGTCAGTCGTTTAATTTGTTAATCATTTATTTATTCAATAAATTAATAAAAAATATATATACATATGAATTAATAATTTATTACATAATATCGTTACCAGTTAACCATTAAATGAAATAAAATAATGTTTCTAATAAATTAATACTTAAATTATTACTATTCAATTAACTTTATTTACTTTAAATTATTGGATTTTAACTTTTCTTTTGTAATTAATCATGGACAGCTTGTCCAACGCCTCAAAACAAAAGTCAGTAACGTTACCTGTCGTCTCCTCCGTTTCGGCGCTGCTGAGCACGTTCACCGCGTTGTCCATGGCTTCGACCCGCATCCTGTACACAGTGTTCGGGGATAACGAGTTAACGGAGCCCATCACCGTGCTGCCGCTGAACTGCGCGAAAACCGACGGCTCTGGGGAGTTTTTCGGCGTGGCGGTGATTTTGTACGAGCTCGCGCCGGTATGTCCGCTCCAACGGACCGTCATACTTTTGGAAGTGACGGTGAACACGGATAACGTGATGTCTGCAGACAGAGAAGCGGTTAGGATAGCATAATAATCATAATACCTGTTACAATTCATTAATACTACAAGATGAAAATAACCGGGTCATTCCTCAAAATGGTCCGCCTTGTCAATTTTGAAAATGTGAGTTTTAGCCTGTTGAAAGATTTGACAACGTTTTAACTTAAAAACTTGACGTCTTTAAACTGAAAATGATGCCCTGAAAGGATGATAACAGGTTTATTTTATATATATATAATAACAGATTTTACACCACTACGATATTACAAAATTAGTTCTACGTCTGTAGAGACGGTGAGAATAAATACAAGCTTTTATTTCATATTTAATTAGAATTGTAACTAGAAAAACTTGTAAACAGACCAAAAATCATCTTCACTGGGACAGAAAACAAAAACAAAAAAAACTTTTTGGATGTGATAAGAATAATATCCATAACATATAGTACAAGTTTGTGTCAAGTATTTGTTGAAGTCATCTTTTACAGTTTACATGAAAGACAAAATGCACCAATTTCATGGAATGACCCAAATATGACAAATATTAAAGATCTCCTACCATGTGCTTTGCATATCTGTAAATTAAGAGCAGAAATACAACAAATTACTTTTAATATATATATAAAACATGCTAGAAAGCATCCATTCTTTGCTTATTTCAGGGAAAAACTATTACTCTGTCATATGGTATTATGTGCCATTAGTGGCCAAGGAAGCTTATTTGAGCATCACTCAGCACAGATTTTAGATCCAGAGCTATTTTTCCTCCTATCCGACTTGAAAGTGTGTACAAGTGCAAAACATGACAGTAGTATAATAAAAAGGACTATTGTTTTATGCATTACAAATAATCTGTTTTTACAATGCTGTTTATTAAGAATCCCAGTACACGTTTAAACACTCTTCCAGCAAGTTTCCCCAAAACTGTAACTTATCGCATGCATAAGAAAAAACGAATTTTTATTCTTACCTGTGGCACAGTAATAATCAATAAGACGATATTAGAAAGATGTAAATATTTCGACTCCATGCCTCAAATTTGGTGCAGATCAGCTGCCTTTAGGGCACACTTCCTTCTTCTGATTTGACTCTCTATTTCTGCAGGGTAATGGCTGAGGCTTAAGTTCTGTTTTTTTTCTCTCTATTACCGTCCAACAGGTATTTTATTGTTCTGGGAGTACCGAGCGTTCACGTGTGCCCCCTCCCTCTGTCACAGGAAGACTGGACCTATCAGCGCTGAAGGACAGCACAGGTAGCCATCAATACACTTGAGGATATACAAAAAAAAGGATAATACTTCAGAATTAAAAAGTATCAATGGTATTAATTCATATTATGAATTGAGAAAGTGTACAACAAATCTGAAGAGGCATTTATCGTATTACATACTTGCATGACAACTAGGGCTGGGCGATATAGCTAAAAAAATGTATCAACGATATAATGTTTCATATCGTTCGGTATCGATAATTATTGACATTTTTATAACCTTTTTTAAAACAAAAAGCAATAGAAAAAAATGTTTAAATTTAACCACTGTATTTTTAAATTAACACAATTTATTGAGACAAACAACAAATATTTTTTGTTTTAACAATCAAACACAAAACAAAAATTTAACGAATATCTCATTTCTAATGTTTTATATGCAGATTAAATAGGTTAAACATTAAATTGTCAACGCAAGGAAATAAGTCAATAAAAAAACGTGCATTACATCTAAATGAACTCATATAAATCAAATATAATTTCGTAAATTGCATAAACAATTATGAACAAAACAGCATCATGTATTTATGCATTGCTTAATCCAAAGAGCCGAAGCGCCATTCACACAGACTGCATTTAAAAACATATGAGACGCAGTGAAAAGGAATAAACCTCCACAAATTCGTGACGTGTTTTCTAAAAGTTTAAACTATTTTAACTTTGCATGGCTTTCCATACATCTCTTGTGTGAGACGCGAGTGCAGCAGTCATATCTGTCCGTCTAAAAAATGCGCTGAATATGCGTTGTGTGTGAATGGCATACCCAGCTAACAAAAAAAGGTCCCCAGGACGTCCCCTAAATGGCCTCTGCGAACGTCCCC